ACTTTACATTTAATAGTGATACTTTACAGGTAATAGTGATACTTTACAGGTAATAGTGATACTTTACAGATAATAGTGATACTTTACAGATAATAGTGATACTTTACATTTAATAGTGATACTTTACAGATAATAGTGATACTTTACAGATAATAGTGATACTTTACATTTAATAGTGATACTTTACATGTAATAGTGATGCTATACAGGTAATAGTGATGCTTTACATGTAATAGTGATGCTATACAGGCAATAGTGATGCTTTACAGGTAATAGTGATGCTTTACAGGTAATGGTGATGCTTTACAGGTAATAGTGATGCTTTACAGGTAATAGTGATGCTTTACAGGTAATAGTGATGCTTTACAGGTAATAGTGATGCTTTACAGGTAATAGTGATGCTATACAGGCAATAGTGATGCTTTACATTTAATAGTGATGCTTTACATTTAATAGTGATGCCTTACAGGTAATAGTGATGCTTTACAGGTAATAGTGATGCTTTACAGGTAATAGTGATCCTTTACAGGTAATAGTGATGCTATACAGTTAATAGTGATCCTTTACAGTTAATAGTGATGCTATACAGTTAATAGTGATATTATACAGGTAATAGTGATACTTTACAGTTAATAGTGATGCTATACAGGTAATAGTGATGCTATACAGGTATTAGTGATGCTATACAGTTATTAGTGATGCTATACAGGTAATAGTGATGCTATACAGATAATAGTGATACTTTACAGTTAATAGTGATACTTTACATTTAATAGTGATGCTTTACAGGTAATAGTGATACTTTACAGGTAATAGTGATACTTTACAGGTAATAGTGATACTTCAGAGTTAATAGTCTGTGATTATTTTGGTCTGAAAATAGGTAAATTATGATTCCTAATGTCTGATAGTCTACTGTCTATAAAACAAAACATATCTTTTTTTATTCTTGCACAAGTATTTATATTATATTTTTATTATTAGTAGTTGTATCATGGCTAGTCAGCGTTAATTTTATTTTTTGTGTACTGTCTATAGTTTGTAAAATAACTAGTGTGTGAACTACTGTACTGATGCTGCTGTGACACCTGAATATCCCCTCGGCGGGACAATAAAGGCTATTTCTATTCTATTTCTATTCTGTTCTGAGACAACACTTGTTGTGACTTGGCYCTATATAAATAAACTGAATAGAATTTTTTACGCTAACTTGAACACATTTTGTCTTTTTGTCAGAGTTCAGTCCTCGAGCGTTAACCTCACCTGGCCGGCTGGTAAGAACTTATTATTTTACAGCTTTCTTATTAAATTTTGTCTTGATGAATTACTTTTCTTCCTCCCTCTATCCAACTTTTTCAGGATGTACTCCTATCAGTGTTTTTATATATTTGGAGAGCTTCAATCCAGAAAATATACAAACAGATTTAATATTGACATTTTGATTTAGGGAGCTTTACTATAAAAAGAAAATAAATATGGGTGTTTGTGTTGAAGGTGGCAAAGGAACATCTGCTAATAAAAGAGCGCTGCCATGAATCCACCATCTTGCTTGAAATCAAAAYGCTGACCACACACATTGCTCTCATCGTGTGCCTAAGCTGGCTCACCCATTAGCCTCTCTGCCTTCCACCCTTTATTTTTCTTCTGATTTTACTCCTCTCTCTGCACCGTCCCACACTCCTGACTCCTCCATCCTTGTTTTCATCCTCTCCCTCACCCTTTGCTCATTCCCGTTTGCTATCCTTCTAGTCCCTGTCATCAAAGAAGTTTGACTACCGACAGTTTGCCGCCATTCCTTCTTCCAAACCCGTATACGACATCCAGGTATTGGCTGCATGCTGAGCTCCTAGGGGCCCTGACCGCCTCCTCCCTCCCCCTGGCTTTCCCTGCTGCCTCTCCCCTCTAGTTTCTGTTGATCGAGGCACCGGTGACACTCAGTCTGGGTTGTGGCTCAGTGGTTGATCTGAGCTGGTGTGGCACTAACTTCAACTTGCTCAATGAAGATTTTTAGCTGAAATAATGACGGCCTCCCTTCTTCCAATGACTCAAATATAAACATCTTTATCWGTAACCACTTACAGCTATTTCAACTAACCGGTCTCAAACGATTACCTGCTGCAAAAATAAACATGTTTTCATTTCACTAACATGAATCYGTCACAAATTCTGGCTTACTCTCATGTTCACTTCCATCTTGTTTCGTGCATGGATTGCATATCAAACAGAATAACTTCCATTATATTTCCTCTCATCTTCTGGCTCTTGGAACATTGGTTTCCTTTGCCTTCAATGGGGTAACAACTTTTTTTTGGCATGTTTTTTTTTTAAGTTTCGCTCCTTTGTGGAGGAAGAGATCTGAGGGGAAGCAGGGGAATCCTGGATTTGTTGGAACTGCAGTCTTAAATGTTTTGGTTCGTGCACTGTCTGTGTGAGTTTGTGTCGGGTCACACAACTCAGATGTTTTGTGGTGTTGCACAGTGGAGGAAATCAATCAGAACTAGGCCTGTTACGATAAATCGTCTCAGAAATTATTGCGATAAATGATACTAATGTTGGTTGACCATTTTAGATTTATATAAGTAAGTAAGTAACTTTATTTATATAGCACCTTTCAAAGTCAAATAGCCACAAGGTGCTTCACAACAACAATAAAAAGCATAAAACACATTTACAAATGATAAGAAAACAACAATAAAACAGCATATAAGACAACATAAAACTTATGCAAACATGTTAAAAAGCCTGTTTAAAAATATTTAATGAACCACCCCCACTCCCACATTCAAAGCTAACTGACCTTTATTAAATTTACATATTAAAAAATAAAAATGTTGCAAACTGACCTGTTCCAGATATTGAGAAAACAACACACAACAACTAGCCTGGTTAAAACCAGACCCTGTCCTTCACTTTGCTTCGTACAAGGGTCTGGACGTGATGCATAGAGAATCGTTTCTTGCAGGAGGTGTGGCCTCTGCTGAAGCATGTGTGTGTGTCGCTGTGAAGGA